TGATATAAGAAATTGAGTGATAGTGAATATACTGCGACAAAATTTGTTCTAAATTCTAAACTTGTGATCGAAGACAAGTAAACTATGTGGTTATTTGCGGTTGTAATAATATTTTAGTAGTCTATACGAATACGATAATACGTATATAAACTTGAGTATAATAGAGATAAAAGTACCATATTTTTTTACTTACTGCTCACTAACATTGGTTTTACCAATTGCCATTAGACATTATCGGAGTATGATATAGTAATATAATGTTGCTTTTACTGGTTTTCAATTTAAAACTACAGATTGACACCAGGTACTATATCTGCATTACCGCGTCAGTATACATCTGTGAACTTATGTATATATATTTTTCGTTATAATTTAATAATTTAAAAAATGTCTATAATTTTAAGTGAGAAGGAAAAAACTGTTTTACTGGTCAATGGTTACAATTATGGATTCCAAAAATACCTTGCTAATGAAATTAAGAAATGGACGTGCAACAAAAAAATATGTAAAGCCTACTTAAAAACTAATTTAATCGATGAAATTATGTTCGATGTTTCAAACATAATTCATACATGTATGAAGGATTCAGAAAAAAAAATTAATAGACAAGTACTAAACAACCATCTGAAACGACTTTACCTATTTATATTATAATCAACTTATAAATGTATTATTGTATAAATCGATAGTTTATATCGATTGTATTGATTCGATTAATGGAAATTTTTCAAATAGGAGGCAATTCGAGTAACCTTTTTTTTAAATTATTTACGGAAGGCAATTCAAGTGTCCCCGTTAAAAACGCGAAAGTAAAAATCGCGAAATATTTTAACAGCGATAACATTAATAGCGAAAAGTAAGAAATTAATTTCGTTAGTAAATATACGTTTATAATATAATAAGCAGGGTTGGGATTTTATAGCACTTAAAATTGCATAAATATGCGCTATAATATTACCTTAAAAATCGCTAAATAAGCTCTAAATACATGCATTAAAAACAACAAAAAATAAAGGAAATTTATTATTTAATAATGTTATACGAGCACGCGAGACGAATGTGAACTGTATAAAGCGAATTTTACACTCGTTCGTTGATAATCGGCTATTAGTAGATTTAGTAGAAATCGACGAAAGAAACCAACAAAATCAGCAGATAATAAAAATTAGAACCAAATAACTAAAACGAAATTATTGTATTATATTATACCTACCTATATATATATATATATATATATATCGCTGTAATTGTACAGAGTTGCATCAGCATAATCGGTCTATTTACTTAATCTATACATTTATAATTTAATTTAAAATTAAAATTTTGAATCTTGAAAATTCGATTAAGGCTCGACGCTCACCAAAGTAACGTGGCATCTGACGTGACGCGTGACCTGGCAACATGAAAGCTAGATGCATGCGACGCGCGATAAAACTCAAACAAACAAATTCATGTCCGCTCACTGAACTAACATGTCATAACATGTATCACTTTCGATTCAGAAAAGTATTGCATGCACTACTTTTTGTCACGTCACTTCACGTGAAACATTGTGTTGTACAATAGTTAATTAATTAATTTACATTTGTTAATTTGAGTTGTACAATTTGTCGTACTTTTTAATTTTTTTTAAGTTACTTTTTTAGTACTAAAGTACTTATTAATATTTTTTGTTATTTTATTAATCAAGTTTATTTGTATTTACACTTGCTATCAAACAATTATTGTCGTCACAGACAGGTAATTATGTTTTGAATTTTTAATAATTATTTGAATGATTATTTTTTTTTTTAATTATTTAAATTATTCAATTTTCCATACAATTTGGACTTGGTAATTGTTCATAATTTTATTTTATTCTATTTGATTATTTTTTATTTTTAATTCTACAACATTTTTAGATAATTTTATTACCAGAGTTGAGATGTTTAAAACATTTTGTTTTAAAACATATTTTAAACATCTAAATTGATCAAACATGATGGTTTTGTTTAAAACAAATTAATTTAAACAACATAAAAAACAGTTGTTTAAAACAGAAAAACATCATTATAATATATAACTTATAATTTATACTGGCAACTCCTATTTATTATTTTTTTTTTTGTTTCATAAACAAATTTTAAATTTATAAGATTTATAATAACAATTTTACTTATTCAAATTACTAACAGTATACTTCAATGGTTCTATTACTTCTGTAGTTCTGTAGGTAATATATCTGCTTAATTTTAATTTTTAATACCTATTTCATTTACAAATGACAACACAAACTTATGCACCTGAATTATAAAATATTAAAATGTATTGTTTACTACCCTATTTGAATGGCCATTTCCGATATTTTTAATCCACCCCTCTCCCGTAATATGCAAAAAACAATAAACTTACGAGCCCTACATTTGTAAGTATTATTATCCCATCAAAAATTATTTATATATTTTATACCTAACCTATACAGGATAGCAAATAAAAATAAAATAATGAAAGATAATCCAGTAGTCAATATAAAACTAATAAGCCTCATTGAAGAGAATAGTTGTCTGTATGATTATTGCCTAACCCAATATTTACGATTAGCGTGATTTTCGTTTACAACATTTATAATGTTTAAAAAATCCAAATCGTCTTCATCCGAAGACATTTTGGTGGTTACTGAAATGTTACCAGTCGGTTGCTACGTCAGATCAGTGAGCGCTAGCTGGCTTTTCATTTGCCACTTGCCAGATCATATGCCATGCAACTTGTCACGTAAGGCCGAGCGCCCACCAAAGTAACGTGACATGTGGCGTGGCAAGTGAAGTAGCAAGTAGCATGCATCTAGCACGCTATTTTGTATCAAAACAATGTAATTAATAGATTTAACGCCAAATAAAGTGATACGACTGTGATATGACAAACTACATGTTACTTCGGTGTCATTAAAATGCAGCATGTTCCATTTTTTGCCACGTGTTACGTGTTTTTACCGACTAGAGTGACAAGTGTTTTGAAAAATATTGTTATTTTAATTATTTTATTAATTTTCTAACTTTTCTTTTCATAATTTTCTAAGTTAAAAATGAAAGACGATCCAGATTTTAACATACATTTTGTTGGTGTAATTAACATTGTTATTAACATTGATTAAATTTACTAAAGCCAAAAAACTTTCGTCATCCGATGAAGAAGAAGACATATTGACAACTGGTGTTACTAGTTTCTAGATACATAGGTAGGCGTTGTGTCACACCATTCGTCATTTTGTTGTTACGTGTTTGCTATATCACTTGCCACGCCACACGTCACGTTACTTTGGTGGGCGCTCGGCCTAAGATGCCACGTTACTTTGGTGAGCGACCTTGCTAACAAAAATCAAAAAACACATTTACCAAAATACAATTTCATAAAATATGCCCGATTTTGATTAAAACACACATTAAAGGCAAAAAAGATACGTAACTGGGAAAAAATCTAGGGGGGGGGGGGGGGCAATATAATATATTTATTACTACCAAAACCCTGACATCCCTCCCCCTCGCCAGTTAAAACATATTTTTATTGTATGTATTTTATACACTATATCTAATTGTTTGATTTGACATAAGACTTTTAACTCATTTTATGGTTTAGATAAATATAAATAGTAGGTAGCATATACTAGGTTCCAATATTGTTATAATATCCATAAGAGTTTATTAATAAAATTGGATTATCTGGGGGGGGGGGGGAATTATACCTTTATCTCTCAAAAAATTGTCAGAGGGGGCACTTGTCCCCCACAATTACACCACTATGTATATATATATATATATATATAAATTATTTCTTCTTCTTCCTCCTCTTATAAGAAACAATTATGTTATCATTATTTATAATTGTTTGTTCAATTTTTAGTTATTCATAATGACAAATTAAAACAAAAAAAAAAATAAATAAATACACCCCTGTGCACAACGAAATATCGAGCAGTTCAGTTTGGAACTGAAAATAAACGCCAGTCGCGGCATTAAATGGTATGTAGGAAACCAATATACACGCAACGATTGGTCGTTGCGGCTAGTCGCAGCTTAGAAACCGTAACTTTAGGCCGCTAAATCCCTGAGCTTACCATCGTAATTTTTTACCGTCGTTTGATATTTTTACGGTAGTAACATACGTAAAGTACTGCGGCCGTTTCAAATTAAATGTTGGTCATATTGTTCAAATGCTGTTTCGCACGTCCAATGCCGTCCGTTCGAGTAGTGCCGTTCCCAGGTTTTGCGAGGCGACATTAGAATTCGAGGCCCTTGGGTTTAGTCAACATTCACATGACGTTCAATGGCCGGAGGGACAGTGGATAGTAACAGAATCATAATACGCACATAAACGTTGATTTACCACATACTATTACTGTATACTTTATTAGTATCCAGTGTCTAATCGAAATAATCATGTTTGCCACGTTATTCCAACGGTTGGTTTATAGTGATAACGCTTTCGCTAACATTAACATAATCTAAGATATATTCAGACATATCTGAATTCTAAGTGGTTGCTGAAATGTTTGGAAATATTTTCGTTTACACAGTCAAACGTTTGCCCCTGGACCGGCACTGCGTTCGAGAGTACGGTGTAGTGCATTCATCATTTATGTTGACCGTCCGGCGTTCAGATAAACCGCCGTTTTCTTTCACACATGCGCGCGACTATTGCGGGGGAAGTGGGTGGGCAACTGCAACACCCGACGAGATCCGGTTGCGAAACGCGTTCCCGCCGTACGAGCACTGGGGGACGCGCGCCGTCCGCTAGGTTGGCGGCACTGTTGTTCACCAGGACCGCGACAGTGTTGGAGCGAGTATCGGGTAGAGGTATGGGTTCGTTGCCGCCGCATTAACCGTAACAATATAAGGGGTAAACGTTGGCACCTGTTGCGCGTACGTGTTGATCGCCGTCGTCCATTCTGCGACGAAATAAACGTCGTGTACGGACACCGGTTTTTACGTGTTCTATCACCGTTCGCGCGTTGCACAACTGCCGCTGAAATGGACCTGACCGACAGGGTGATGCGTTGCTTCAAGCCGTCCAAAGTGTTCGACAACAGCCGAGAACTGGTCAACAGTTTGGACTTCGCGGCGGCCGGTGACTTTGTTGTGACGGGCGGTAGCGATGATCAGATCGTGTTGTACAACAGTATGTACGGCGAGCAGAAGAAGATTTCCTTGACCAAGATGTATGGTGTCGGTCAAATAATATTCGGACACACTAGCACGACGGTTCTTCACTCATCGACTAAAATCAACGACACCATCAGGTGAGACAATGTTCTTGAACAATGGTCACCGACCGATGGTCTGTAATAAAATTTGGTACTTTTGTTATATACGGAGGCCACTTGTGTTATATTTATATCTTGCCACCGCGCGAAAACAATGTGTTATATTTAGGAAAATTTAACACATTTATACCGTGCGATAACAATGTTTTTATGTGATCGTTGACTTTCGCAATTCAGTTCACAGACTGTATACCGTGCGTGGTGATTGTCAATCATCGTTACTGCATTCTTTCGCTATGAGTGCCGTTTTGTTAATTTGTTAATATAACACAAGTGGCCTCCGTATATAACAAAAGTACCTACAATTTTGCTGTTACGTAGAACATTTCTGGATAGATACCTGAAACGTAGTCAATATAAATTGCAAAGTATAAGTCTTTTGTAGAAGTTGGAATAATGCCTAAAAAATTTTAAAAATTATAATACTTAGTATGCAGCCGCATATTTTTAAGTTCTGATAAATAGATACAGACATCGAGGGAAAAAAGTTAATATTTGACTTATTGTGATGACAGCTAAATTTAAATTTACTGTTTTCTTTACTATTTCTATTGCTATAGTATTTATTTTAAAGCCCTACAAATTGTAATTCAAATTAATTGTGTAATGTTTATTAATTAGACTGTTTCACTATAAGCAACCTGTTTGACAGGCCATCCGTTTAATATATTTTTTCTTAAAAGTTGTTCACTTTCCTATCAATTTACTTTTTTGAGAACAACCTAACAAATGTCTGATTACATTTAAAAATATAATATATTATATGTATAGGCATTATGCAATAATTTTGCTATGTTAGAAAAGTTGTTTTCTAATTTCATGTAGTGGTATGTAATAGTTGACAACATTTACATGTCTAATAATTTACATGTTTAAATTATATTATATTATTACTCTTTATATTATATTACCTACTTCCAATATACTATAGTAAATACCAAATAATTTAATAATACATTTTTTATTTAGTAGAATTACTAATAAACAGTTAATATTTTAAATATTAATTTAATATATTTGTATATTACTCTATTTTCTTAATTTTTTATATTTTCAGATATTTATCTTTGCACCAAAATAAGTATATTCGATATTTCATAGGCCACACAAACAAAGTTACTTCATTAATTAAATCACCAGTTGAAGATATATTTGTGAGTGCATCATTGGACAATAGTCTCATGTTATGGGATTTAAGGTCCCCAAATTGTGAAGCCCATATTAGTGTAGCTGGAAGACCTGTGGCAGATTTTGATCCAAATGGTTTAGTGTTGGCAGTCGGCATAAATTCTAAAACAATTAAAATGTTTGACATCAGGTAAATATAATATTTTTTTTTTATTTATTTATCTTCACACTGTACTTTTTTTGACCATATTATACTTGATTTTAGAAATTTAAAAAATGGATCATTCATTACTGCAAATTATAATGAGTATAAGCAATATGATTGGACGGATCTCAAATTTAGTCCAAATGGCAAGTTCATAATTATACCTTCTGATGGGCCCTTAATAAAATTGATAGATGCCTTCAATGGTGAACCTATTAATTCATTCGTTGGCCACCAGAATAAAAATAGTATTCCTGTTGAAGCTTCATTCAGCCCGGACTCAAAGTACGTTATCAGTGGGTCAAATGATAGCCGTATTCATGGATGGAATATAAAATCAGGATCTAAAGTTTGCATACTAGAAAGTTATTATAATGGTCCAATTAACTGCGTTAAATTCAATCCCAAATACATGATGATAGCCTCAACAAGTACAAATATGGAATTTTGGTTACCCAAGTATAATTTTATATAGGATTCTTTATTGTAGAATTTTAAAATTTTTGCTGTTTTCATGTGGTTCAAAACAGAAGTTTTAAGTATTACAATATAATTATAAAATATATACTTTATTACTATTTAAACTCTGAATCCACTTATATTTTTAAAAATATGAATAATTTAGGACTTTAAATCTGATTGATCTCTTTTCAATTAATCATATAGATAATATGTGTAATTAAAAAACTGTAGTAACCAGAGTATAACTATTAAATTGTAGATGTTTTAATTATTGATATTTTTATATTATAAATTATTTTATTGACTGTTCATGTATTCTTGTACTGCAAAATAGCAAAACATAACTGATCTTGAATTGGAGATTTTAAAAGATATTTTTTAATTTATTTAAAGCATGTTATAATTAGACATTTATGTAAATATTCATTTAAAATTATGTTAATTATTTTTTTAGAAATTTTAACATTGTTTGTTTTCAATATTAATTTAGTGGTAAACAGTTGTACAATTTTTATAATAAATAAGTGTTATTTTTAATATATGTATTTGTTTCTCGGTTTAATAAGTAAAATATGTATAAAAAAATGCAAAAATTAATTCAAAATGTATATTTAAAAATTTTAATTAATTTTTATTTGACACAGAAAGAAATAATCTTTATTAAATCGAATTGCCCAATTTTTGTGTTACCTATATGACACAATGAAAATGATGAAAAATATATGTGTTCTTATAAAGCAGGTTTTATAATTTATAAATATTAATCAATCGTTCAAATTATAAGTACACACATATGCGCAACTAGGGTAAAAAATCTAGGGGGCTACAACCCTCCTACCAAAACTTAAAATAACCCGTAGATTAATCCTATTCTTATATACCATGTTAATATATTTTAGATTTTGAGCCAAGTTGGATTTACTGCAATGTGTCTTTTTTTTGTATGCGACACTATTGTGAGTTAACTATGCTGTATGCGGTATGTCATGTATAACATGGAATATATATGGGGGAGTTAAGCTCCCTACTCCCAACTCCTAATTGCATCTATATGTACACACATATATAAATATATATATATATTTTAAAAAGTGATATTAAAATCGGTTATCAATAAACCTCAGAATTATTATAAACTAAATATCATTGTATACCTCATATAGCAGCTGACAATATTTTGATTAATAAATGTATTAAATATAATTATTGAACATGTGTTAGTGCACCAAGGAATAGTATCATCTATCTTGCAGTTTTATTAATTAAAAAAGCTTATGATTCATAAGTTATGAAGTACTTAATTTTATTCATTTTATTATACACTATTGTGTACAATCTTTTATATTTTACTAGCATTCTTTTAATCAAACCAAAATCACGGCCACAAGGCATGAAAGAATGACTTCATATAGGATATAAAACTTCTTTTAATTTTCTTTTTGACCAACCCATTAAAAACAGAATAATTGCGTTGTTTTTGTTTTATCCTGCACAGTTATCAGTGATAACTTATCACAAAAAATATAAAAGCGTACAACTTATTTATGAATATCATTATTGATGTACCTAATGATTTATGTATGATGTGAGTTCGTTAGGTCCTATACCATTTCACCCTCATAATAATTTTAATATTTCATACTTACTGTAGATAAGTTATGAACACCAAAATTACAAACTGTAAGCTATCTATAATTTCATAATTAAATGTAGTGTACTTATTTTTTTAAGATCTGAGATTCCTATGTTGACTAGGTTTGAATTATATCCAAGTCTCTAATTGTTAGGTCACTAATTGTCTATAATAATAATTGTTGGTCAGCCTTAGTTGTCTTTGTGTAGTGAACGCTGTGCAAGACATGACAACCGGTACCACGATAAGTATTTAACGACGTCGCACGTTCATTGTTATCTAGCTTAATGTGATAGAATAAAGATCAGCTTAGCCTGAGTAAAGAATTATGTACTTACTCGCGGCGATGTGGCTGTAACAATGTCTACGACGAGTAATAATTTATTTAAAAGGAAAAATGACCAGCCTAACACTGTCTTAATCCAGTGGCGAACGCAGTAGTGGGTTAACCATTTACATAACCCACAGAATACTTGTGCTGCTTGTGATATGTATTTCATTATCCCTCGGCGAACTCTTTAAGTTTATATGCACATATGTTCGATTTTATTTATGCAATCGTCAATGATGTCCTATTGTGTGTGACATGATGTGTCAAGAAAGAACACTAAGTCTCATGTGTTAGTCACGATTTTAATTGTGCCTAAATTTTCATAATAAATACCAGATTTCGATGGTATCTAATTGGTTGTTGAAAAAACATACTTGTGGCGTCACCAGTTTATATTCGATTATTATTTGAATAATAATAATTAGACTGGATTGGACATAAAAAAAAAAAAAAACAATAATAACTTTTAATCCATATATCTATTATAATTGCATTCATATATTAGCTAGGTACTTATATCTAATAGTATTTTATTAATTTTTTATACGAATAAAATCTTATTATATAAATATATAAATAAATTTTGTATATTTTGCGTTTGTGCACAGGTTGTATGCTATGTTATTTTATGTTTTTTTTTCTTCATATAAAATCATGTGTCTCTTATAGACTTATTAAATAACTACCCTTATTAAAATAACCTAATTCAATTTCAAAAATAAATTGTTTATATTCTAAACTATCTAATTATAAATAGGTAAAAGAGTTGGGTGTTAGTGATATAATAAAATAGTATGTTTAGTAGGTTAAATCAAACAATATTTAATTTATCTAATATTTGTTTTTTTTTTTTATAAAAACAACTTTAACTACTAATGTATTGTTTATTTATTTTCTATAATTCAGAGCCACAAAATAATTTAATATTATTTATGTGATTACGATACCCCTTTGTTGATAGTGACGTTTACATTATCATGTAATACTAGGAATTCGTACGGATCTGTCCAATTTCTACTTAGTAGGTTTCATTTATTATTTTCTTTAATTAGGACTTTGTTCCCTACCTGTAATTTAATATTATGTAAATTTTTATCGTAATATTTCTTATTATTTTCCTTTTTCTTATTCTTTTCTTATTCATAGTTAATTTATCATCAATAAACGGTAGTCTCTATATATTAATAATGTTACAGATAGTTTTATTTTTTAACATTGAGCTTAAATTATTTACAATTATTACATTTTCGTTCAACATCTGATTTTTTTAATAGCCACTACATTTGAATTAATTATATCATCAGCTTTGACCTGTAATACTCAATCACAAAATGCGGATATTATAAAAGGTTCAACTTAATTCACCTCGATCAGCTCAGGCAGTGGCAAACACGGGAGGGGGGGGGTTAAGGGTGTTATAACTCCCCCCCTAGACATTTTCTCCGATGTCTAGGTTAAAATTTTAAAAATGTTACAAGTTTGAAATATCAAGAGCTAGTATTGAATACCTAGTATCATTGATTATAGAATAGTATATTCTATAATCAATGCTATTATTTAAGTCAAAATATATTAAGGATTTGCATAATTTTGTTAATTGTAAAATGAACATTTTCGTTCATCAATACATGTTCTTTTAACGCAGACTATTTAATAACATTCATATCTCCGCTGCAATATAATAAAAATTTGTTTTTACACTAAAAATCATTAGCTCTACAAATAATATGTTCAACCTTAATTGTTCTGATTACTCATACATAATTTTTTTATCTCTTAATGATCGCATTCCGTAACTTGAAATCGGAGTACTCCCTGAGATACATGAAGAACAACAATCAGTTTTCTTTTATTATTTAAGTTTTCTAAACTCCGGAATTTCATGATTTTTTAATTTATAATGTTTGTAAAATATTACATGTCCCGCGTACTCCTTTATGATATTTGGTTACTATTTAATATATTGCACCGGAGTTCTACATTGATTCACGTAATGACTTAATTGATTACATCGAAATGGTTTAATGGCAATTTTATAGACTTTACTTTTATTACATAATATATTATTAATTCCCCAAAAATTATGTTTAAAATTATTCACGTCGTTTAAATTATTATTTGTTAGATTGTAGCCGGAAATATGGCCTAAAATTGAAAAATTAGTGATCTGAAAAGCAATGAATCTACCTCAAAAGTGTTCACGAAAGGTGAGATGCTATATAGAATTTTCATTTTATGCATAACATTATACATATTTCCAGGCCGTGAATCACCTGAAAAACTATAAACGTGATATACTTTTTGGTGACCTGTTGGACACATTTTTGACACACGACACAAGAAAAAGAATCAATGTTGACTTATCTCTGAAAAACAGTTTTTCTGGACGCATCCCGTCCCGTCGAATCTTGCGCCGTAAACATGAAGAAATACACCAAAACAATTTCGATTATCTAAATAAAATTTCAAAGGTTAAGGGCCATGTGGAGCTTTATCCATCTTAAACAGCTTTCCGTCGAATAAAGACTAGGTGTTAATCTTCCAGTATAAATAATCTCACAAGTTTTCACGGTCGTATTTCCTAGTTCACCCAATGGATTAATATTTCATGTTATACACAATTCATCATCTTGATGTGCCATGTTAACTTGTAATTTGAACTTATCTAATATGTTTACATTAAGCTTGTATTATTATATTATGTTCGTTTTCATAAATATAATTAATAATTGAAATTTTTATTGTTATTTGTAAAATTTTACATGTCCCGTGTACTCCTTTTTGATATTTGGTTACTATTTGATATATTGCACCGGAGTTCTACATTGATTCGCGTAATTACCCAATTGATCACATCGAAATGGTTTAATGGCAATTTTATAGACTTTACTTTTATTACATAATATATTATTAATTCCCCAAAAATTATGTTTAAAATTATTCACGTCGTTTAAATTATTATTTGTTAGATTGTAGCCGGAAATATGGCCTAAAATTGAAAAATTAGTGATCTGAAAAGCAATGAATCTACCTCAAAAGTGTTCACGAA